CAACAACGCTAATCAAAGCGCCAATCCTTGAAGAGCCATGTCTCATCTGCTTTACCAATTCCAGTATCTCCTTCCGACCTAGCCATTGATCTAGTATTTCTGAGCAGTCTTTGCGAATCAAAATCCATAACCTCAGACTCAAAAATCCCCTGCCTTGCTTACCTTTTATTTTCCATTTCCATCGCAGAACCCAGTCGGAATGGGCTTCTCTCAAAAATGGGCTTCTCTCTTTTGAGAGAAGCCTCCTCTGCCTTTCTTTTGAGGTAGAGGTTTAATATTTAGATAATTCAAATTTAAAATTTTTATTTTTATTTATATTTTTAAAATGAAAAATATATAAAAATTATAAAATTTTTTAATAAATATACTTATCAATTTAATAGTTTAGATTTAATATAGATGATCTAAATTTAATATTAAATTTTTTTAATAAATTTACCGTTCTGTTCAGAATATAGTTGCACTGTCTAGAATATAATTAAAAAATTAATTTAAATTTTTTTATTAAATTTAAATTATTTATATTAAATTTAGACTATCAGATTGATAAGTATATTTATTAAAATTTTTAATAATATATATATATATATATTTTAAAATATAAATAAAAAATAAAAATATTAAATTTAAATAGTCTAAATTTACCACTGCCTCAAAGGAGAGATAGAGGCCCCTCCTTCATATCGTTCAATATCATCACTGATCATCCAAGATCTTCATCGGCAACGACGCAATCGAGAAGCCACCATTCATTCATTAATTGAAATCCAATCCTCATCGACGATCCATCACCCTTACACACCCATAAGTCTCCACCCTTCCACCGATCATAAGTCTCTCCTAATCATCGCCATCAGTGCTCATTGACCTTGCCAACCCGCAAACCGTAATTACTACACACATTAATGTGCCTAGCCTAAACAATCTCTCGCCTTTACACTCGGCCTATGCTGAGATAGAGATGCCGTCGATTGCATCACTTTGACTCGCAGAGAGCCCCCCATGGATGAGGGGAGGGTGAACCTCAATTGAACGACTAGGTAGATCAACTATGATTCTGGCCATTTGAGGTAGGAATGAGTAAAATCAAATCAAAACTGAAAATCACATCGAGTCGAATTAAATTTTATTTATTTTATTCAGTCTAAATTTTTTGGCTCATTTTAGTTTGTTTTAAAGAAAAATTTATGTTGATTGATTCGATTTAGTTAGTAAAATTTAAAATTGAATAGACAACCAATCGAATTATGATTCATATAAATAAAATAATTTATTAATTCATAAATTATATATAACTTATTAATTATTTTATTTTATTTTATTTTTTTTAATTTTATACATAAAAAAGTAAACATACAAACTAACTAATGAGAATTTATGAAACTCCAATACTCACTCCCCACATTTTCACACCCTCTGTCGCGTTCTCCCTTTCCCTATGACCTCTCTTTCTCTCTATATATGGTTTTCTTTCATGTTCACCCCTCTCTAGCTGACGTCTACTCCTCTCAATGCTATCGACTAGTTCCTTCCCTTAGGTTATCGCCCACGCTGCCAACAAGCTCCTGCACCCTTACCACCATGATCTCCTGCTCCAACACCATCAATCTCTATTAATTCAATAATGATTAACTCACCACATCTCTCACCTCTCATAGGCTCCACTTCTTCTATCTTGCCCTTTCTCCCTTTCTCATTGAGTTAGGCTTCAACTTTTGGAGACTTCATCACCTTTACAACTCTCTAATTTGTCATTTGGGTTTTTGTTTTGGGTTTCTTTGTGCCTTAATGATTTTTTTATTCTACCTTTAATGTTTGAACATTTTTCTGATTTGATGTTTTAGTTTCTTCAAGCTTTGATTTCTTCAAGTTCTGAATTCTTTACAACAGTGGCTTCACTAAATATCTCCCTTTCTAAATGCTTGGCATTGTTTGAATGTTTTGTTAATTTTTTTGTATTTAGGGCTTATAAACCAAATAGACCAATCAAACCGAATTGTTATAATTCAGTTCAGTTTTATTTCAATTTAATCAAGTATATCGGTTTGATTATGTCCAAACATTTTATGTAATTTGATTGATTGGTTTTGGAAAATTTGGCATTGAACTGACCAAATCAAACCAATGCTCATGCCTAATTCGAGCATATTCGTTAAAAGCTTATTGAAACTCAAATTTATTAAAAACCTCATATAATAAGGCTTGATTATGACACCTCAAGTTTTGGACTTATTTGGATCTGTTTGAATATCCAAATTATTATTTTTTAAGGAAATTTTAATTTTTTTTAAAATTAACTATTTGTTGTTATAATAAAAAAATATACAACATTCTTTTAAGATACTTAAAAAAATATGAAAGACTCAATTTTTTAAGGAAAATTGTTGATAAAAAAAGTTTCAAAATGAAGATTAAATTATTTTTTTAAAATTATTTTAAGATAATTTATAAATTAAAAAATTATTAAAATATAACAATGCGAAACTTTTTCAATTTCCAAGAAAATATTATAATAATGTATTTAAATATATATATATATATATATTTAGTGTAAAATTAATTAAGTCCTAAGGAAATAATCAATATGCAAGCATCACTTTCCTAAGCCTGACTTTCAAATTTTTCGGGCTGGAAGAAAAAATTTCTATTTTTCATGTTATAGGCATTGTCATTTATTTTTTGTTTTGTTTTTGGGTAACAAAATTTTTAATCCTTTAAATTTATCCCAGTTAAAAATTTGTGCCACAAGTTTAATTTTTATCAACTTAATTCTTTATATATTTTTTAAATTATCTCATTAGTCCTTTAATTTTTAAAATAAAAATCAACTCTTAAAATTAATTTAATTAGTAAAGTATGTTGATAACTTGACAAGTATATATATATAAATGAGAATAAATTAGCCATTAAATAATTTTAATTTTTATAGTTTACTTAGATGCATTTTGTACTTTTATTTTTAAAAATTTTCGGTCCATTTTTTTGACATAAATAATTATACATGTTTTTAATATTATTCTACATGATTGTTATGAATATTTTGTTATTTATGTCAGCAAATTTTAATAGTGTTACATCTTCTTTAACTAAAAATTAAGAATCAAATTGATAATTTAAACAAACTTGAGGATCAAATTGATAAATATTAATTAAATTTGAATGACCAAATTGACAATTGAGAAAAACTTGAAAGACTAAAAGTTTCATTATTCTTGTTAATTTGTAGTTGGACTAATAACATATGGGTTAAGGGCAATTTTATGCTTAAACTATAGATCTAAAAGTATCTAAGACCCTAAACTTTTTTAGATTAAGATGTATTTTTATCCCTGAACTATTTTTTTTGAGGAGCTTTGGGCACCCTGAACTAATAAATAGAGCAATTTTATCCTTGAACTATTTTATTATGGAGTAAAAAATTTTCTAGTAGTCACTTGTTAACTTTATTATTTTGTATTGATATGACATGTGCATGAGACCTATGCACCATGACAAGTAAGACTTGTAAGACTTTGATAATATCTTTTGATGCCAATTTACTCCTAAGCTTTTTTTTTTTTTAAGAGCATTAGAAACCCTAAAGTCTTTTTCTAGGAGTGTTACACATTCTAAAGTCTTGTTAAAATAAAATTAAATAAATATTATTAAAATATTAAATATTTTAATAATCAATGATTTAAATATTACTATTTATGAATATTCATTAAAAATTTATAATTTTGTTAAATATTATCAGCTAAAAACTAGTTTTTTAAAAATTTATAGATGACTTGTAATGTACTAATGTTTTACAAATCAATTATATTTTTAATATTGATTAATTTTTTAAATTTTTTATTTCATTATTTGTAATTTTTTTATCAATCAATGATCTTCTTCCAAATAATTACATTATCCAATTTAATATTTTTTGATATTTTGCTATTTTGTATTCAAAACAAAGGAAATGAACTCCCAAATTAATGGAGAAACTTTTTTTTTACTCATCTATCCATTATTTTCTTGTTAAGTAATTTTTTTTGCAGCACATTAATAGGCAATGTAAAATCTTTCAAATAAACATTTTTATTGGCATATTGTTGATCGTGATCTATCATGTTTTTGATTTTATTCTTAACAATGCAGTAGACAGAGAGTATTAAATATGGTTGGTGCAATAGTTTTGAAGAATATCATAATTACTTGATAAAAAAATGACATAAAATGATCTAAAAATTTAAAGAACTTAACTAATATTAAAAATATAGGTAAGTTCTGACTTGCATGAAAGGTATAATAATCTGAGCATAATCTTGGAGAAAGGCTTGGAGATCGTTATTTTTTTTAATCAATTAATAGTCAAAGTTAACTTTTATTATTGGTAAATAGAACATAAAACCATTTTTAATTGCTGAAAGAGAATATTGAACAAAAAAAAAACAATTTAAAGTGTCATACGCTTTTGGGGCTGTAGTTTAAAAATTAAATAAAATTATTAACCAGAAACGAATAATATATCATATACGTTAAGTGGCAATATAACGTGCGTCTTCCAGGAAAAAGAAGAAAAAACATTACTTTGAATATATGTAACCGGATTTACTTCTATAGAAATTAAATAATATACTTGTTATCTTCATTCATATAAATTGTGACAGGTATAGTATCCATTCTCGGTAGGTATATATTTGGGCAAATCACATAGAGTAGCAATACACAGGCTCACACACACAAATATGCATGTATATCATGTATAGAATAATATTATTAATTATATATTAACAATTATCACACTACTCAACAGATAACGGGACATATCATATCTCTTGCTAGCAACTAATATATATGTAGTATAAAATTTTTTTAAGTCACTCCTTTTATGAATTATAAATAATGCAATTGTATTCATTTTTTTCACACAATCGAGACCAATACTAATTATTATATAAATGTATTTTAATTACCATATTCTTCGGGCGAAATGTATATTACCATATTCGCTCTATCTGATGACCTTTGCATTATACGCCGCCTTTTATCAATTTCAAAGGCCTCATCATCACATTGTCTTCATGGTTTGACACCTGCAAATTAAAGAATCGTCATCGTGTTCTGCGCAGTCACGTACAAAGCAAATAAATGATACTACCTATATATATATATATATATAATATATATATATATATATGTTTAATAGTTTAATTAAACTCAAAGAAAGTAAATAAAAATGCTAAAAAAAAAAGTATGGCAAGAATGCTTACATGACAATGATACAAGTAACCAGGTTCTGCAGTTGCATCAAATTCATACGATGCATTTGTGTGTATATAACCAAACCTCACTACAATTTTCGTCACACACATGGGTGTCATCTTGTACACGACCTTCCACCCCCGCTCATGAGCTGGCACCTCTAGTTTCTTGCCACGTGCATACTCCTCCACGCGGCACTCAGTCGCATTATTATGTTTCCTCATGCATTCATTAAACTCGTCAATGTTCACCAGCTCGGTTTGATCCACCACCTTGAACAATCCTAAATGAATGTGAAGGGGATGATTGGCCTGTGTAAGATTGATCACATACCACACCTCCGTTGATCCCTCTTTTGGAGTTTCTGTCACCGGCGACTCGAAAGGTTCTGCATTTAAGTATAAGTGAGTTGCATCTCCTCTCTTTTTTCCTCCTCCATACCCAAACATTGTAATGTACCTTGTGTGCGACACACTTGATAAATCTGCATCAGGGTATTTCAGCAACTTCTTCGGTATATGTGATGTGTCAATTTCTGGATCAGGTTTTATAAAGAATTTGATCACCTTGCTGTTCGCTTCATTCACTGGATCTCCAAAAGGGAAGTGAGATGGTGCACTGTTTGCTAAGATAACTGTGTCATTCTTTGATTGAGAAAAGTCAACAATCACATCTGCGATCTCAAATGGCCCCACTACAACTTCCTCTGTTGTCACCGGCTCTTCTATGTACGCAGAATCTGATGCCACGTGGGTGAGTTGCAAGCCATTGGTGAAGAAGAGTCTAAAGAATCTACAGTTGCTGGCGTTGATTATCCGGAATCTATACTTACGACGTCGTACGGTCATGCGTGGCCAAACTTTTCCATTCACCGTGATAATGTTACCAAAGTGAAATGGCTGCCATTGAGGGTGTATGGTGGGGTGGTTTCCGGTGGAATTCATGTATAAGGAACCATTAACGTGAAAGCTCAAATCGAAGATCATCAATGGTCGATCGAAGCTATCACCATTGGGTAATCTGAGAGGGTGCTCGATCAGAGGGTGGCGAATGATGTAGGCTCCGAACAAGCCAGCAAGGAGGTTGGCTCTAGTCAATCCTAAGGCATGATCGTGATAGCACATGATTCCAGGGTGTTGATTGTTTGGATAATGATAGGTTTTTTTAGACCAAGTGGGTCCCGTTTCGTTGAATCTGGCAGTGAACCAAGCATTTGGATGACCATCACTTTGGGGCTCTTGGATGCCACCGTGGAGGTGAACCACTGTGGGAATGCCCTTCTTGGAGTGGGGCATGGCTGTGGGAATGGTGGGGTCTAATGGGAGGATGTGATATGAAGGGAGGTGATTTTGCCACGTCACGTATGTGTCAATTCCATGAAGGGCTTCAATTGTTGGACCAGGGACTGTTGCAGTATGTTGGTCTACACCGTAGGCGAAAACTGGTGTGGGAGGTAAATCCCTATGGAATTTCTACACATCGAAAAGCATTTAGTCATTTGATGGGATGACACCCATCGGGGTCATGAGTATCTAATTTTTGATGAGATCTAAATTGTCAACGCCATGATATGGATGATTTAAATGTAATTTTTTTAATTTTAATTTTATGAACAAAATTGTCATAAATCTGCTCATAACCAATATTAATAGTCTAGTTAATCAAGATGATCCGAATTTAATATTAAATTATTTTATAACTTTTATATTTTTTTCCAGTATAATTTTTATACATTGATTATCCATATTTATCATTGGTGGGAGGATTTAGTATTATTTTTTTAATTTTTATTTTGATAATACAATATTAAAAATAAACATAATCTTGTAACCAGAACTTGCCAAATTTGTTTATAAAAATTACAAGTTTAAAATTTTAGATTTGAATTATCTAGAGTAAATTTAAATAGTCAATTTATAGAAATTATAAAAAAACTTTAATATTAAATCTGACCTATTCAAATCAAGTAGATTTATTAAATTTTTATATTTATTTTGATAAATAAAAAATAAAAATAAAAATAAAAAAAAAAACTTAAATCTAAATTGTTTAAATTTCATTAGAGGTGATGAGCATCAAATACAAACTTGTCATTCATACCACAACCTTCTTTAAAATAAGACATAGGGAGGAAAAGATGAATTGTACGTGTGAGAAAATTAAAATGGTTTAAGGAAATAATCAAGATGATGCTATATATCATTTTAGTCAAAAACATAACGAAGAAATTATAGGAATGAAAAAATAATAATACCCAATTCTTTTGGAACATGCCAATCTGAAGTGATTTGGGTTTGGGGTTTCCACGAAGGATCTCATAGCCAAGGATTCTGGGCATATCAGGAACCTCATCCACAAACATCTCCAGCTTGGATGGTTCTACCAGTATGTCATCGTCTCTAACAAAAGAAGCCGCTGAGGAGGTAATAATCACAGCCTCTAATAAAGCAATCATGAATGTGAGTTTCAGAGGCATTAGTGGTCTATCCATGGCTCTTAAATTATGCAAGGTTCTTAAATTTTGTGTCTGTGTGTGTGTGTGTCTGTTTGTGTTTATACATATACCTACTTGTAAGATTAGCCAATGTGTGTACGTGCTATACAAATATAAGACAGATAATTAAGTGAGGACGGAGAGACATGACAATGATTTTCTTAAGACGACCTTGATTTGTATTTAATTTTGCCTTTTGAGAGTAGCATATATGCAATGGTTATAGGTGAAATCTTTAAAATTGAACATAGCCTAATTAAAAATTAATGTTAAGAAAAGCCAAGAATAACCACGCTACCGCTTCACTGAGACTAAAAACTTAATAACATTTGCGTTTTTAATGATTGATAATTCATATAATAATACTTAACAAAAAAATAATTCATATAATAACATGTCAAAAATAACGCCCAAGGCTCAGCTGAGTGGGCACAATGGTTGGTCAAAGAAACTAAGTGGGCTCAATAATTAAAGATATAAAGTAAAATAATGTTAACCATTTGCTCTTTATAAAGGGTATAGGTGAGAATTCTTCCGAGGCCATCAGGCATGATTATAATTTTAAGTTGTCACTACAATAGAAATAAGCAAAAATAACGTAACGGGGATTATAAAATAATGACAAAGTAAAATTGACGGAGATGTAAGGGATTATGTTTGCCTATGTATGACGGTTAAGCTTTTTCTACCATCATATGTAATGTATGCTCCTCTTACTTTGTTCATAACTTAATCACGCACAATTTATCTATTCTATCATGGTAATTAAAAAATAACTAAACATAGTAAGTGATTGCATAGTAGAAAAAGGCTTGGCCATAGTTGAAATAGTCAACTATGGTAGAAAAGAATTAAATCACATTTAAAGGTTTACTATGGTTTAAAAGAGTTTAACTTATTATATATATATATATATATTATGAAATATAAATAATTATCCTATTATGATAGAAAAGAGCCGACCATGAAGGAAAAATTTAAACTAAGATATTGAAGTATCTACCATAGTAGAAAATAGATAAACAAAATATGAATATGACTGCTAAGTTAGCAAGGATTTTGTTTAGTAAATTAATTTAAAGCATAATTTAATACCCTACGATGGTAGAAAAGGATCTACCATGGTAGAAAGACAACTAACTAATGATATTTAAGATCTAGCAACCATATTAGAAAAGAATTGAATAATTAATAAAAAGAAATTATTATGGTAAAAAAAAATTCAAAGTTAAATGAGATAAACCCATACGAAAATTGGATCCCAAAATCAAATAAAATCAAGGAAAAATTGTCCAAAAATACCTCACCAATAATTTATTTGCCAATAAGGACTTGAAACAATTTATGAAACTTGGTCCTTCTCTAGCATTAAATCTCACATGTGTAATGACCATTTTGCCTTTATAGCATTTGAAAGAAAAACTTGCACATGAAGAAGCTCTTAGGCACACTATCCTCTACAACCTAACGTTTGATTTTGTTGGATGACCAAGTTGATGACTTTGTTAGGTCAATTCATTGCATTTCGACTTTGTTAGGTCAGCTATTCTTTATTTTTTAGTATTTGTTTGGTGAAGGTTGAATTTCATTATGAGTTTTAAATTTTTACTGAAAGAGTTCGAAAGAGGCTGAACAAAGTATTTTTTTTGCCACTTACTCCTCCATAAGTGTATTTCCTCACATTGTAAAGGTCAGTGACACCTAATGTAGAATTTGATAGACGATGTTATAATTTTTCGCTGACGAATGTTTTTTTTTCCTTCGATGTTGAAAATTGTAGGTTTATATAACTTCTTTATGAGCCTTAAGAGTAAGGAATGGAAAGAAATATTCTGTTACTTTCATATAGATGAAATGATTGTTATTGATGGAGTGTGCAATATGTTGATGGCAGAGCAAATGGAAGGATAGTAAGTCTGTTAATGTCAATTGATGAGTTAAGAAGTAAAATATGTTCATGTTTTGGGTGTGAACTTAAAGGATTAAAATTAAAGTGAAGTGCATAATGTAAAAATTAAATAAAATCACTATTGTAGACTTGAAAGATGATGGAGTTCAACAACTAGTTGAATTTAATGGAAAATCTGCATATGTTTAAATAGTTGAATGTGTAAATGAGTGTAGGAATGAAGTTAAACCTATGTTGATTTCTGAAGGGTCAAATTGTATAGAAATGTCATTTGGATTATTTGTCATTGTATCTACATCAAGTAAGGGAAGTCAAGAGCTTTTATATTTAATTTAAAGTGCACCTACTCCTTTTCCTGATCATGGTGCAGCCAAATGAAATGACTTGCTTTTGAGCCTTAGGCAAACATTCAACAATGTAGGCATATTTAAGAAATCATTATATAAGTATAGTTTGCACACAAGTTTGCATACAAAGCATGTGAAGAACAATGTAAGAAGTATGTTAGTGAAGTGCATAACTAATGGATGTCCATGGAAGATAACTGCTTATGCAATGAGCCATTAGTGAAAATTTTTACATGTGCATTCTTTTAAGAATGAGCATATTCACTCAGTCTAGGATAATCTCATAGTTTCTAGGAAATTTACCTCTATGTTAACTTCATCTATCATCAAAGATGGTTTAAGTTGTTCTCTAGATAAAGTGTCAAATGAGATAAGGCAGAACTTGTATAAGGACTATGGTCTTTCATTATCTTATGACCAGGCATGGAAAGGAAAAGAGTGATCATTGATAGAAATACAAGGATTTTTTGTCCAATCATACATGTTGATTCTTGATTTTGCCAAAGACTAGTAGAAGTTGACCTAACAACTGTGGCTAAATGGGCAGCATCAGTCAAGCATAAATTTCGAAGGTTGTTTATATCATATGGATGCTACATAGAAGGATTCTTGAATGGTTGTTAGCTTGTATTGTATATTGATGGATATCACTTGAGTGGTCCACATTGGGGAATTATGTTGGCTACTTTTGCACACAATGTTGATAATGAGCTTTCCATACGCTACACTAAAATAATGATTTTCTCACAGCATTTCTGTGAGAAAACACCCAAAATTCTGTGAGAACATCATCTCTCACACCAAAAGGTCCGTTACTAAAATAGTCAAAGGAAAAAATATTTTACATGAACAAAACCGTAAGAACCATTTCTCATAGCCTTTGAAACTGTGAGATGTTCTCGCGGAAAGGTTTTAAGAGAAGTTCTTTCAATATAAATATGAGAGAATTCCACACACATAAATGGTGTGAAAATTTCTCTCATATTGTTATGCTATGAGAATTTTTATAACCATTTTCTGTGATAAATTCTCATGTACAACAAATTTGAGAGAATTTCTTTCAAAATTTTTTCGGGAGAAATTTGTTAGTCTCTCATAATAATGTATTGTGAGAAATACTACAACTAATGCCATATCACTTGCCATCTTGTACTATGTCAGCTACCACGTATGCATTAGTTAATCCCAATTCACACGAAACCTCACATCACATCAGGCACCACATGTGCATCTAGTTCATGCTACATCACTTGCCACCTAGTGCTATGTCACTCACCATCTAGCTCATACCATGTCATTTGTCATGTTATCACCTTATATGTCGCATGTCACTTGCCAACTTGCGCCAAATCACCTATTCATGCCATGCCATTTATTTGTTGCAAAATATACCAATGTCAATACTTGAACCTTCAACCTTCCACCATCCAAGTTTTATACTCCCCTTCTTTGCTAGTTAAACTAAAACACGCTTGTAGTCATCATATGTGAAATTAAATATATATTAACTTCATACACATATATTAAATAATATACTATTAAAAAGATATACATAAATTTTATTTTATTTTTTATTAATAATATAATAAAATAATTTATATGACTACTTATATTATATTTTTAATAAAAATTATTTTTATCAACAAATATTATTTTTGTTATGAAAATGAACTTAAAAGAAACAAATTTTAAATATTAAATAATTTCTTATAAATATTTTAACCAATTTATAATTTATAATTTTATTTTTAAATTAAAATAATTGACTATATAATTTGTTTATCATAAACTTTGTTAGTGACTAAAACAAATTTTATGTTAGATATCTTTTAATTTTATTTCCCCATATTTTTATCAGAATCTAATAAATGAATAATTAAATTTTTATCTTCTTCTCAAATGGTTAAATGTTTTCCTTCCTTTCTGAAAAATACATCTTATCTACAATTTTTTAATTATCTTAAAAAGTATCTCAATAGAAAAATTAATTTTAATCATATAAATTTTATTAATAGTCATTTTGAACCATTTTGAATTTTTAATAAATACAAATAGCTCACAATACAAAATAATTATGAGGATATTCATATGTGATCAATCTAGATAATCAATAATCATTAGTTACCTCAAAACAATAACCAAAAGAATTTCAGGCCAATCTTGAATAGCCAAATTCTTTTTTATTGTTAATAAATAAAATTCAAATATTAATTTTTTAAAATATAAATTGAAGTTGACTAAAAAATAAAAATAAAATAAAATAATATTTAATAATTTTTTATTTAGTTTTGCTCAAAAGCACAAGTTATTAGAGTTAAGTTTGGCTATATGGCTTTTTTTATAAAGCTAATGGGCACCCTTACATTATTGTTTATTTAAGGATACTAGAAGCTTTTGAAGAAAAATTTTCTAGATTTTTTATACTTTATTATAAAAAAAATATGTACTTAAATAACTTTCTCACACCCATTATTAATAAGAATTTCTCACACTTAATAATGCATTAATAATTTCTCACGGGTAAGAATTTGAGAGAGATTTTCTTGACATATAAATTGTGAGAAAATTTATATTTACTTTATGTTATTATATCAATTATTTATTTATTTTATTTTTACTAAAAAGAAAATATTCCATGCTTTAAAATGTAGATAAAAAGATTTATGGTTTGATTTTGGAAAAAATTAATATTATTTGAACATTTTTTTGATTAGTTAGTAACACACTTCATATAAAATTAA